CGGACGATCGTATGATATTGCTCGTCGAGTTTGAATCGCTCAAATATTCTCGAATTCATCGTTTAATCCTCTTACACATTTATTCCGCTGAAAACGGCCGAACTGATTTCGCAGTGAGTGCCGTTGCAGCGTCACGGTATTTACTTTGACTTTTAGTTTGGAGACCGGCCGCAATGTAAAGAGGCCAGACACGAGCCACTAAACTAACGGAGACTCGATGGTTCCTATAAAACGGCTCTCTAAAATTAACGGCACGAGCGTAATTTGTCGAAGAACTCGCCGTCGCTTCGGATTAAAATCTAAAGTTCGCAGGCGGGGGGTCACGACCGAAGATGTCCTGGTCGGGAACACCGCTACGGGGCTTTCCACAAATCTTCGAACGACAATCCCGATACCCCGCGGGTCTTTAGACAATCCTGAGAACGGAAATCGAACTCGGAATTCGGTACGTGTTCGCATTGTCATTCGAATTCTCCGCGAGTCCAACGTTAATTATGAAAATTATAGGAAAGTTTGATTAGAAAATTCAAATATTAATATTTCATCCAAATGCAAGCTCCAATTGAAAAAATTATTATAACTATTTACGTTTTGAAGAGAGAAATTAGTTTCATATATTTTCCTGAAAAAAATATCGCGCTGTATTGAAACTTAGGGCGCCTTATTTTTCTAAATTTTTCATGAAAACAATTTACAGGAATTAATAATTCAACGCTAAATAGTATTTCTTTATACAACTCGATATTTATTTCGAATTTAAAAAATGATGTAGCAATCAAGTGTAAGTTATTTTTTATCTTTACGCTTCGTATTGTTTGTGTACGTCGTAAGTTAAGTTCTCTATCAGTGCTTTCAGCTAACAAGCCATTACTAGAAGCGGGCAATCAGAGATAGAGGAAAGCACGGTCGTAATAATCGAAGTGCAGTGACTGTTCGCCAACTGTCATCACTAAGATAGTGTTGCGGCTATATCGAATAGCGGTACTAGGGGTTTTGTTCTCAGATAATCACGGCTCTTTGGCACTGACTCACGAAGAAATAACAGAATCTCAGCGTTGTAATTGTGGCAATGGAAATAATCGATAATGAGTTTTATTTGTGACTAAGGGTTTACCTTGCATTAATAGAAATTGCTTTCTCAAACTCGCCGTGTTAAAGCAAATAACGATTTTCTACCGAGCAACATTTGCAGTCTTATCACGAAATCTATTCCCCAAAATATCATATTTCTGAAACGCTCTATATATAAAATGTCTGACTGCATACATATTGTTCTACTTGTACACGCAGAAAATCACAAAAACAGTCCGTAGCGTCACGTAACGATAAGACAAAGTATATAATAGATGAAACAAATCTTTAAAATACTTCCGAATCCAATTTCCCTGACAATTTCTAACTTTAATGACGACTGTTTCGAGGGAACATCATAAAGATAGAATCAAAATTGGGACTCGTTCCGCTTAATTCTTGCAATGTTGAAGCGCGCTATCGATTGTTTGCGCTTTAATCGCGTTTGAAGGCTAACAATCGTGGACTGTATTTTGTCTCGCTACATTCCTTGCAGGTCGCAATTCGAGGTGCTGCCTTTGTTTTCGGTGATGTTTACCCCGTTTTATTTCCCCGGTGACATTTCGGTATTTTTCATTTTGTGACGACTTCGTTGTTTGCCAGACGGAATAAGCGATCCGGCGAAGGCAACAATGTGACTGGGCATCAAGAAGACCTCTCGAAATGTAGCTGTTTTCGATTCCTTTGGACGTATTGAAGCTACTTTTCTATTTATATAGCTTGCTCAGGGAACGCTGTAGATTTAAAGCGTGCGTACTCCGTAAAATACAACCTGACAAAATATCGACAAAAATTTTGATAAGAAAGTTAGATGATTGGAATTGATTTTTTAATTGATTTAGTAGCGTTTATAATCGCATTTGTTACAATGAAAAATTTACGATTAAGATCTGAAAACGGGAGCAAAAATTTTTAACCGAATCTTTACGATATCTACATAATAGAAATAAAAATCGAACTGAATTTTTTTTTTCAGCGAGCAAAATGTTATAGAATTTGAAGAGCATCTAAATTGAGCAGCTCTTTTTTCTTCTATTTCAGCACGTTGAATTTTTTCTCTACTACATTTAGCACACCTACGTAGTTTTTTTAATGCTTTATGAAACGAGATCTCCCACGCCTAGGCACATAAGAATTTATACGCGTCGCTTCCAAGTCGAGTAAATTTGAACGAGGGCCGGATGCGGCGGAGGGTTAAATGCAACAGTTACGTTTATCTACGTGGCGCCGTCTGGGCTGGCCTGAACCCTTTAGAATGATATCAAAAGCCGGCTCTCCCGTTCTTGCGGCACACGGCAATTGGATAAAGCCGGTTGAGCTCCGATCGGGCGGAACCCGCCGTTGTTGCACGTGCACGACACGCGCGTAACGAGAGAATCGATGCTACCTCGCTCGCGATGTGCAAGCGATGCAGTTCTTAAGCATTACCCGACCGGCAATTGAACGCCGCGTCGCGATATAGTTTATCTCGTAGCTTCTTTATAGCAGCTCTTTTATCGCCGCGCTCCTAATGATTGTAAAATCAGTGACGTATCGTCGACCCGTTAACGATTGCTCCTTCTTGCATTTCACGATCAGTCGCGTCGCGTAATGAGCGTGCGGATGAGGTAGCGCTAGAAAAAGGTATAGCGTAACTTTATGCACGACGACACACACAGAATAAGTCGTTTTATATTATGAACTTTTAGATTTGGGAATAAGCTCTCTTTTTCTTTTGATGCACGTATTGAAATAATATGTAATTATAATGGAAAGTTCTCTGCAATTATATTTTCTTGTTGAGAAAAATCGAGTTTAATACAATTTCCTTATTTTTACTATCTACATTGAGACAAACGATTCATCTTGAAAGCAATTGAATAATAAAGATAAAACAACAATTACTTTTGAGATAATGTTTATTTTACTGTTACAGTTATTAAATTATATGGACTATATTAATTACTGTCTTGAATTATAGAATTTGTTATTTAGTTTGTAAATATACCAGTGACCGAACATTTTCCAATTTCCGATCATGTCTTAACGAAACAGTTATTATTTAATATTTATAAATATGAAACTCAGAAATAATGAGAAAAAAGGTTAATGAATTCAGTTTGTGTATTAAAATAATTAAAAATTATCATGTAATATTCAATAACATATTATATATAATAATTAATACAATGAGCTGAGGTATATCTAATGAATTTATATTGAATTTTAATGATTTTGCTAATTGTAAGAGTAAGTAATTTTTTATAGCGTTAAAAAGAAGTTCGACATCTTTTATAAATATTTCATTCACTATCAGTTAATAATTATAATTTTTTGATTTCATTTCTATAAAGTAAAAGTGAATCTTTATTATATATACGAAAAGATGAGAAGAATATTATTTTGATAGAAAAAATTACATTTTTTAATGGAACATCTCGGAATTGGAAACATTTTGTATGTTGTAATTGCATCGCTTGTAAATGATAATCGAAATAAAATTGTATGTCACGGATACATCAAGGAACGTGCGCGTGTTGCACGATTTTGAAATGACAAGCTTAATACTTGCATCAATAATGCTATTTGATACCCGAAGGGACGAATAGTTGGAGGAATTATGTTCTGTATAATGGTTGACACAACCACAAGCATGGAACGTTCGACGCACCAACCCGCGCATTTGTGTGAATTGGAACACGGTCGGCCAAATCTACGTTATGTACATAACTGCGCTGATAACCGATCACCAATAACCGAAGAGTGGCCGCTGCGCAATAATTCCGTTATCTCGCTTGTATTTTCATCGAGAGTTATTTTCTCCAATTTCCTTAAATTATGCTATTTCGTAATTTTGATAAAATTTAATTCCCCATTGCATTAAATAACATATTTTATTTTAATTGCACTGAATAATATATCAATCTTAATAAACGTCTTTATACTTTCTAAACATTTAAGCTAATTGTTTCAACTTAATATAAACGAATCAAAGAAATAAGATTTGTGTTATTTCGGTCTTCAACATGATTTGCATGATTGTGACTGCAGTGTCCACGGCATTGAAATTGTCTCCGCGAAAATTTATCGGCTTTTCGCTCACTTATCGAGTTTTTATTAATTGCCATTACGGGGACTCGCGTGCTCGGTACGTCGCCGTTTCGCCATGATAGAGTTATCACGATGATCGAGTTAAGTCCATTCGTGTAACTTTGTTAACGCGATAACGGAAACCGCTGCTTTCATACGCGCTGTAACTACGCGGACAACGGGCAGCATCTCGCCCATGATTGACACCACTGATTAAAATCCAATTGAGAACTATTAATGAAGCTTGCAAATGACAAACATTCCACAAACGCAGGCGTGGATAGAAGTTAGACAAAGCACGGTCTTGAATATTTTCTCTTTGTTGAACCTAGAATATTATGAATATTGGATAGAAGATTTAATAACAAACAATTTGTAATCGAAAATGTTTATTATTACACATATAAACACAAAATTAATAGTTTACAGTTAACAATAAACTATAAATTTATTAATAATAAACATGAACTTATTAATATTAAACGTGAATTTATTAATAATAAACGTGAACTATAAACGTTATATTTTAACGAATTTGTAGAATATACAGAATATATAGAATAATAGTATATATAGAATATATAGAAAAATTAGAAAATATAACCAACAGTATTGGAATTAATTTAAAATGCTATTTTATTGCAATGTGATAAAAGGAGTAATGTAAAATATATTTTTTTAACACGTCTGATACGCGCGTTGTGGAAAGACGGAAAGCTCGTCTGCGAGCAACAATGTCTGGGGACCATGACGGTCTTGAAACAGATCTGTTGACCCGGTCGGCATTGTCTTATGAAGTGGTCGAAGATAACTTTAATAAATGACCCTCTCACGAGCGAGATGTCGGCGTTTCATTTCAGGTGGAAGAATCGACCATGCTCACCATTACAACAACGCTTATCGCGCGCTGGATGAGACGCTAGCGCTGGAGGCAGCCGTCCAGGCAGTTATGAAGGAGGTCGATCTCACGGAAACGCTTCTCGTAGTAACGGCGGATCACTCGCACGTATTAACCCTCGGCGGACTGGCGACGCATCGAGGGAATCCCATATTCGGTGAGTCGCCTATATACTTTGTTTTAACACGCTATATCCGACGACGACTCGTCGTTTGTGTCTGAAATAACTGGGATATTTCTACTTGTTAGACTGGAATGCACTAACAAATGATTTCTTATTTATTTTTCAAGTTCGATGAGATTTGTTTTTCAAATAATATATATATTTTATATAAAATTATTTTCAATAAAATTAATAGATATGTTTTAATTAACTATACATTTTTATTTTCAAAATTCTTTATAATTATGTTATTTGATCACAAACATTATTGTGGATTTAATTATTATTTGCTTATGACTTATTTCATAATTAAATTATATTTAATTATGAAATACCAATGACAGTTAGTCAGTAATAAACGGAAATAATTAAATACGGTCACGTTATAATTTTTTTCTAATTAAACACGAAATATCTCGAGTTTTTATAACGTCGCGTATCTCAACACCTGCTTCTCTCATCCAGATTTTTAATCATACACACAATAGCGCGGCATGTACGTGTTAACAAACTCCGCGCAATTGCGATGGCTGGCTCCAACTGCTCGTAACTTTTCGCCGACGAGGAAGAAAACGCGTCCCTTTCATTGTAGCTCAGGCTCTGACCTTCCAATATCCGGGAAGGATGCACTGGCAACCGACTTCTGCCCTGAAAAACAGCTTCGCAGGAAATATTATTGAATCGCATGCGCGAATAAATTGCGACAATGCTCAAGCTTAGTTTACACAACTTTATCTTTCATTAGTGATCAGCAAGTTCAAATAATCATGATACTTTTCAATTTTATTCATCTACGAAATTTTATAAAAAAATTATTAATAAAGTTTTTTTTTTAATTGAAAAAGTATTTGTTAGTGCGAAAGTTAGTGCGAAGGATTTGTTCGATTTATTTTACATGAATAATTATTAATTTCCATTTTAAAAAAGTTTAGTTCAGAGTTTCTCTATCAGGCATACAAAAGCTTGTTTCCTCAAAAAGTGTATTAAAATCCAATAGTGGCTATTTTAATTAATAAAAATTTGTTTAAAATTCTATAATTCTGACAAATATGATAAATTTTTTTTACTAAATTAACAGATAAAAATAAACTGATAGAAATATATGAGAATAATATCAAATGAACAAATTTGTTTATAAGATCAAGCTTACTTAAAGAGGACATTCAAAAGATAGCATGCATAAGATCTCCTAATGCAGAAAGTGTGTCTTTAGTTGTAAGAGAAGTTCAAGCGAGAAGTAGAACTTTATAGAACTCAGAGTAGTATTTCGGGAAACACCGGGCTATTAAAAGAGCATTGTGCATTTTAGATTTCTGCAAACTGGCGCATTCAAGTGGAAACGTTTTTACTTCGCAAGATGCTGTTACCGTGCTGCGTGCTGCAAGTTTTGACATAAAAAATGATGCATAACCCGCAACTATCTAGCATCTAGTAAACAATTTATCGAAGTTTTCATTAAAACTTGCGTTTTGATGGATCATTGCGTACTTATCGGTAATCAAGTTTCGCGATGATAAAAAAGGAAAACGGACATTCTCGCGAAAGCCGAACACAAAATCAGATTCTTAATCGTCGACAATATCCTGACCGGCGCAATATTTTCACTAACTTTCAACATATTTTCACTAAACTTTCAACATCTTTTCAGACAAACGCGCTATTTGCCAGCGCGCTTAAGTACCTTGTAAACCGCGCTTTACAGAGACCATCTCCGGGGTGATGGTCCGCCCTTTTGTTACCTTCGATCTCTCCGTTTTCCCCGACCTACAATTCCCGAAGAGAACGGCGGTGCACTGATCCGCGGCGAACGACGCGGAAACGTTCGATCGTCGGCAATCAAAAGTCGGACTCTCCCGTTCGATCGCGCCAATTTTTTCGCGTGAGCGAAAGTTTGACGGCGGCCGTTTCATCTGTCGTTTCGTGCCGGCAGGTGTTGACACGAGCGTTCGTGTCGCAATTTAATACCTGGACGGGCGGATGTGAGCGCGCTGTTTTATATGGGGATGCAAGCTCGTCTCCATCGAGTGGAGGAGGGACCGTCCTTCCGGCAGGACAGCTCTGGATTCAATAAGATCCAATCTACTTCGACAACTTCGTGGGGCGCCCGTCGACCGTTCGCCCAGTCGCGGTTAAATTGAATCGCCGGGAAACGTAAAGGATGGCTTTTCCGTCGGCCATATGTGGAGTCGCAAAAGCTCGCTCGTCCGTTTATCTGACAGTAGCCGGTTGAAAAAAATAATCCCGGCGAAAAGGGGAGACCGTTACGCGCTCATTGAGAAAGAGACTACCTAAAGTTTTTGTGAGCTGGCGCGATTTTACCGAATTCGAGGATCTCAAATTTTATTGCCCGCTTCGCGTGCCTCGGGATTGTGTCGGACATCTTGTTACTCCATTGAGAAGTTAATCCGTTTACGTCCATAGCCGACGGCTTGCATGAGTTTACTTTGTTACAGAATTTTACTGTTTTATGTACAAAATATGTTATTTGAAATGAAATATGTTTTATTTATTTCTGTTTCTTTGTCTTGCTTGGTACTAACAGAATTCAGAATACTAAGTTTTTAAGAAAATTTTCCTTGAATTTATATTCTTACGATAAGTTTTTAATTCTTAACGAATTAAAGAGCTTGTTCCTAAAAGAAATTGAAAGCAAATACAAATTTATTTTTATTATTTAAAAATTCTCTTTGGCCTCTTTTTATTCTTCCATTAATGTTTGACAACTTTATCTATTAATTAATGCTGTATGAAATCATAATTTGATAGAATTATTAATAACATTATTATTTGAGCTTGCCTCATTAAATGACATACATGAAATAATTGTGAAAGATATGCGGCTTATAACGCAAGTTGTGTTTGCGTAGTAAATTTTAGGCAATTTTTCGAAGAAATCCACATTAGCGGATTGTCAATGTCATAATTCTCTAATTTTTAAGTCAAAATCATTGACTCTCTATGCTTACGGCCCGTAAAATTTTCCAATCGGTTCGCAATGAATTTACTCGAATTACTCAAGCGAGAGATATCCAATAATGCATCCCCTCATCATGATTATACTCAATAACATTCCGCATGATTTAATAGAAATTTATATCTGTGCTTGATAGCGGACATAATCCAAACGAGATAGCTTTGTTAATTAAACAGTTTATCCATCGGCGTAAAAATCTAGACTTCGACCTGACAAAGATAGATTTAGTCAAAGAAGAGTAAAAATATTTTCAAAAAATGAATAAAAAAGTTTCCACGCGGCTCTTTCATTCTGTGTTTTACATTCGATATACTTTTTTAACATAACAATATATAACTGACCTTTAGTAAATTGTGATAAATGTTAATTGAGTAAATTTAATCTACAAATTAGAAAGCGCGGACTATTAAAATCCTTTTAAAATATTTTATCAGTGTTGTACATATTAATCTGTATTTTTTTATTATTATACGATATAAAGATTAACACTATTAGTGTGTCTAAAAAAGTGTTTGCGCACGAAAGGTGATTATTATTTAATAATTTATTTAATAATATATTAGTTAATATTCAGTAATCCAACAATGTGTTTAATTTATTTTTGTCACTAAACAACAATACTAAAGATCAAATGTTTAAGTAATCGAGATAGCATCGGTTCATTATTCGAAAAGTAATTTCTACTCTGTACCAGGTCATTGTACAGGCGATAGATCTCGCTGAAAAGTTCACACCGCTCGGCTCTACTATTCGTGTTGATTGCCATCAATAAATAGCAGTTGTCGAGTCGGCGAATCTCGCGATCTGCTCGTTGCGCCGAAAACGCGGCATCGCGACGCTTTTAATTTTTGGTCCGTCAAATTTCGTTTGCATTTGTAATTGAAAGAACGAAAGAAGGGAGGGGGGGGGTGAAAAGAAAAAATCCGGTTGCAACGGACGTATCAGTGTCATCCAATTCTACCGACGTACCAGCGTGGCTTGAATCAGATTCACCATCGTGCGATTTCCGCGTCCAGATTGAAACCGCTAGCAATTTCGCATTCGAGAATCGAATAGAACATTTAGAAATTCTGTAATTAGTTGGAAACTTTGTAATTGTTCACTCGACATCGCGCGACAGGAAGATTTCTGGGCGACCGCGAGGTTGTCGCATAAGAAAATTCATAGGACGTGGAAAATTTAAATTTATCTAAATGGAGCTTCGGTGCTGAAAGATTTATATAACTTTATAATAATAATTCCGCGGTTTACTCGACAGCGGTCACAATACGTGCCTCGCCTTGGTGAAACGCGTCATTTATCGCATCGAAAATTTCGCGAAACGGGGTCGCGCGAGGATCTCGCGCATAATAAAACTAATGTACGGCGGCAGGGGCGCTAAATCACGCGGTTGACGTTCCGCGTGAAATACTGTTTGAAACATCTGATACATAGGGATTTTTATTTGCAACGCGTTTCTATCATCGCCGCGGTTTGCGATGAGGCAAGCCAAAATGAATATGCAGTCGCTCCGTGCACCCGGCGCCATAAATGCGATGACCGACAATAAGAATATTATTTGCGCGCGTATTTTAGGTAAGATTTGACCTGAGAGAATTTAAAGCGAGAATAACGAGATAAAATAGTCGTATTTCGAATAATTCAGATCTTGTCAACGGTGTGAATACCGAGAAAATATAAATGCATGCAGGAAGATATTTATAAATAAAAATATTCAAGTAAAATTTTAGTAAGAATATTTAATTTATTAAGAATAAGTGGATTTATTTGTCGATCCAATGAAATCGCATTACTTAGTCGCAGAGCAGTCGTTAATAATAAATTCCTTAAATAAAGTAACTTCTTTTGCACGAAAATACTGAGACGCTAATAGTTTTTGAGTGTTGTAAAAGCGATCGAAAAGGGTGAGCTTTCGACGAATTTTACGAAATAAATTGCACCGCACTAACGCGCATTAAAATTTATCGAATATTTGCAGAGGTTATTTATCGGATATTACAGGTGAGCTTTCATTATCCGG